ATTTGGAGCAAATAGCCTTGCAAAAGGACGAGTCAGTGCGTCACAAGAACTGCATCAAAAGGTAGAATGGATAATGCAGCTTACCGGAACAAATTTTGCAATCGCCTCTGCATACTTCTTTCTGTTGTTATGTGGCGAATGATTGGAGACCACCCAGGCAATTAATTTTGTTCTCTGCTTGTGATAGTGAGGCAGCAGGTAAGTGTTGTTTTTTGCCAGCATCGCAGATTTCTCTTCGTCGGTGAATTTTAATCTGGGTTTTGTGTTGCGGACGAAGTGGGGATACATGTAGGGTACAGGTGAAGCCGCCATATACGTGTTAAACATGTCGATCTATGAAATATTAAAGAAGTGCACGAACACTTAGTCCTAAGACTAATGTAGAACTCTTAGGATTTTTATTGAATCAGGTTTTTCGTTTAATAGATCGCTATAAATTACCGCAGAAACTTGAAATTAAGAAACAGAATAGAGCAAGGCAATAGGTCAACTGTCTAATCAAAATGTCATTTGTTTAATTCACTCCTATATTCCTTGGGTTTCACAGGAGTGAGAACACAAGAACGATCGCTTGCTTAGACGCAATCCCGTGCACGAAACAGTCGAGTAAATTTTTATGAATAACCATGTGTTAACGTGTTAAGCGAGAAATCATGTCATTATTTGAGACACAAATTATTACCGCAAACATCAGTTAATATGAGGTGGCAAGTGAGAAAATTTCATATCAAACACGAATATGCAGACAGCTGACTTACTTGACTCAGCTGCGAGTTTTTCAGAGATGGCATGAGGTAAGGGCATTCACCTGACTCGAACACGATCAGTACGCCTCGTTGTTTGAGGCTTCGCGCTTCCTCAGGAGAAAACTTCACAGAGTACACCACAACATCACCCTTGCCCAATTGTTCTTTATCGTGATTAAATATGCACTTGTAGCGACACCCAGCCGGATCTGTGGGATGATACATTATTTGCCTGTCGAAAAATATCACAGGTGCTTTGCCAGTTGACAACTCACTCTACAAAGTAAATAATGCATGCATGATGCATCAAAGTGCTGAATGATTAATAAACACATAATTGGATGTGCCTTTTTAAAAGTACTGAATGTGTAGACAAAGTCAAGTTCAACAATCAAAATGAACCTCTGCATTTAATAAATCAACATGTAATCCGAAGCATCATGTTGGATTACTCTTCTGGACAACTTTGCAGTTTCTGCTAAAAAACTTTGAGTAAATGTCAAGACTCGGGACAAATGTCGGGGCTGAAAAGCGTACCTGGTTAGTTGCGTAATCAGATATCCATTGCATCTGATCGAT